TGCTGGTGCTTGGTGCCAAGTTTAACCCGATAACTCAGACTGTCTTGCGCGTAGTACAAGTATTCCGGCATCAACGAGTAATTTTTAGAAATGGCCACAAGCACCCGAGTACTCGTACAGTATGAGGTTGACGCTAAAAATGGTGAGAAGAATGGCATGCAACAACCCGAACTATACAAGTACTGGTACCACTTCACGCTTTCTCCCCAACACATCCTGGGGCTATGGAAGGAAAAATTGATAGAATAATCCAAAATTGTGTCAGATACCTCACCGGGCCACAGATTATAGGAGAATTGTTTGCTAAATTGGCATGCAATTGTGTAAAATTGAAGTTTAGAAAAGCGCCAAGCTGAGGGTGAAGTCCAAGGAACTATTTCACATAACCAAGTTCACCTCCGTTTTCGGGCCTTTGTTATATTAATCTCAATTAACCTGCTCCTAACCTAACTTTTATTGAGTTCCTTGCTCTAGTTCCTGGGCGAGTCTCCAGGTGGTCTATTCACTGAGGACGGCTCCTCGTCAATGGTCTCCCTCATATAGACCATCAACCCAGTACTCTGTAGTTGACGGTAGATACCCTTGTTGCCAATGCTAACCTAGGAGAACGTCACGTGTTTACTTATGGAAAGTATGGGATCTGAGGATCTCGGCCATGGGTTATGAGATAATTCTTAGGAGTCAGTTTGGGAGCTGGAATAAAAAAGTAAGTAACCGGCTTCTTGGAAACCCGCACCAGTTGAAATTAAGTCAAACCCCACCGGTGATTACCGACCGGGGGTAAATCATCGATTCTCTTCAACGGAACATTTCGTAGAGTCCATGGCGTGTCCGTAGTCTTCCGGTGTAGGCATTGATAGAATGGATTGAGAGATACTACTCTTCTCTAGGTGGGCACCAGAACCGATGGAGAATATTCGTTCTCTTGTGGTTTGGTCTGAGAAGGGTGCATCCTGCATCTCCAAGCACAAGTCATGAAGTAACACAAACTCTTTGTCTTAATTATTAGCAGTATTTTGAAGCTGTTATAAACGACCGGTGTCTTGGATTAATGTGATTGTACAGTACTTCTGGTTCCTGGTTGTGCGAGCCGTTGGGCAAAGTCTAGGGGTCTTGTACAATAGGTAAACATAATCTTTAGCACGGGGCCACTCTCGAAGATCCACAACCACAATGGCTAACTTATAACTCTCCCCAAGGGTTTCCATATGATATCCTACGAGATTGGCGGGGTGGACATGCGGAGGACTACTGGCGCGAACTCAGGATTGATCTCATATTTATACAACCCCACATAATACTGTATAATACTGTTTTCTAACCATATAATCTTATGAGATATGTATATTATTTGATACTAGAAAATTGTTTCTACAAAGTCCACAATTGTATAAAATCACTACTAGATGTTGTAAGTTGGGAAGGATAATGTTTATTGCAAAAGATCTAGTTACAAATTCAACCCAATTTTGAGTAAACAGTTCTCCTTATAGCCTTCCAAATAATATCTTAAGTTTTCTGGGGGTGTGAAGTGAAAATTTCAAAAACTCCATCAAATCCCAGTACAGAAGCCACTATGCCAACCCCTAGTTGGGGTAGTCAATCAGAAGATTTACTCTTTAAGGTTATTGATTTAGGGTTACTTATTTTAGTCCATGTGTGTATAGTAAGTATGTATGGTATAAAAAGTAAAGTACAATATGCGGTATATTATTATAATATACGTATATTTGAAATCCCTATTGCCAACAGAGGATCTTAGAAAGTCCCTAAATCACGTGACAATAGCATGTCTCCAAGCCCACCATCAGATCATCAGCGGAAATCTGCCCGTCAGTTCATCATAGGTCCAATTCGACATGTCAACATTAACACCATATATCCGGTACTAACTACCAGAAAGCATCCCTAACTCAGGTTCTCTATCCTATCATACGGCATTACTTTCTATGGGGTAAGCAACAGAAGCACGAATACTAACTAACTAGATCTAACACATCTAGAGGACCGAGCTTATACCATATTAGGAAATCGCTGATCTTTCTTAGGATCTTCTGTAACTAAATCCGGAGATTGCCGCGTAGGGAGGGGAGGGAGGTGGTAGCTTTTCTGAGTGTTTTTTTTTTTATCGTTCACGTACCTTACACAACTTCAAGGCGCTTGCAAGCATCGCCAGCCAGCCAGCTTGTTTTTCTTTTCTTTCTTTTCCGAGTCATACGGGTGCCTCTAGGGATTCTATCTTGCGAGTATTAGTCCACACCCGGCGGAGTTGTTATTGGGAATTAATAAGTGATAGCATTTGTGTCCTTAGGAATTGCTAAGGGAAACAGCCGCCAAACAAAAAGTACGTATTCAATGTCACCTTTAAAGGCCAAAATTAGAAGGCTGGAGCTATTAGGCTCCCTGGAGAGAGCTCCTATTTATGTTATTTTTTATGGATATTTCCCCCTAACCCGGCAGTCGGCATTCGCCTTTGGGGGGCCGAACCAACCATAAGTTAAGAAAATTATATTCCTAGCTAGCCAGAGGGAGATCCGAAGTGACATGCCGTATGGTACTTAGCACCTGTTATGGGAAAAACATTGGTCTGGGAAATCTTAGCTTGGCCGGTAGGATTGGAAAGTTATTTTGAGTGATGGCAATAGTTTATACTACCACTTCTAGTTTTCTGCTCACTCTAGTTTTCTGCTCACTACGTAGCCTACCAGTAGGTACGGAGTTTCGTTAGGACAACGGAACCCCCTTGTTTTGTTTTTTCGCAATTTACATTCACCCACTAATACAAGAGAAGAGCGTCATGTATAATATGATACCTATCAATCAAAGTATCACTACATTCCCCATTTCTTCTTTTGCACCTCTTTACCTTTTGCTCATCTCCCTGGTCCCATATTCGGCAATTATAAACCAGACTGCAGAATATCCTTGCTCACAGATTACAGATGTTGGTCTCGGGGTTGAAAATGTGGGCCGCGAAGCCCCAGAAGCCCTCGAATATTCCCCAGAAACGTGGAGATTGTTCACAGCACATCACAGAAATTTCCTATCGTCCTTTATTCATGCGCACAAGGTGTCTGAGGTTGTAACCGAAGTGCATGTCTTTCCAGCGAGTGATTGGAAGTGATTCCTGGTCCCAATAGGGTTTCTAGGGCAAAATGAACATTTGAAGCCTTTACAAGGATCGAGATAGGGACGTTATACTTGCAATGTCAAAGAAAAGGGTGTAGAAATGCCAGATTGGTTCTTGGTTCTAGAGCATGAGGGATTTTCCATGAGTGGGCTCATGCCCCAGGACTGAATGGGTCACTTCCAGGCTATGATAGCCTTCAATAGACACACTGACCCTCTTGATATGTATCATAATAGCCTTGGAGGAAACTCCTCCCCGCGAAATTTCTGTGGGAATCCGGCTAGATCAGGTTTCTTCCAGGAGATCATTATCACCTACGAATCTAAGCGGGGCCACGGAATGTGTATGCAAGTACCCCTTATCAACACTCGGCAAATACTCAACGAGTCCTGTAGATACTAGCCAGCCCGTGTATGTCGCCTTTTTTGCTTCTTTGATATATTGCCCTAGGCTATTCCTTCTGCCACGTCGGCATATTTTCTCAAGCCTAGAAAGTTGTTTACAGTAATAACAATAAGTATAGTTATGCTTCTATAATGTTTCCATTCCCTCATACTTTCTTCTGGTTCAGTACGTAGCGCCCAAATTAAACGCCGAAAGTTCGAGCTGGAGTTATCTCTCTGAATGGGGTATTACTAGTTTGCGCTTGAAAATCTCCCAGGTGGCAAAACAACAAGTTTTCGCCACAGCTTAACACGGCCCCGCAGCCCATATACAATTGCCAGTTTAGAACTCCCGTGGTCAATACTATTTGCGGGTGTCTCCTCAGCAGGTCACTGGCTTCAGCCAAATTAATCGAAATTAAAACTCCATGCCGCGCACACCAAGTCTGCTGGGGAGCCTTGCTATTTGGTCCTAGCTAATTAATTCACTTTTTTACTTTTTTATTTGGAAATAGACCTACCATTACTAGCTTCGATAACCGCAGCTAGGTTTCGAACTACCGAATGTATCAACGGCTCACGATAGCCGTGAATAAGGGACAAAGTGTCCCCCCAGTTCATTCAACAGCTGTAGTGACGTGCGTTAATCCGTGGTCATAAACTGATTTTCATAGAAATATCTTGCCCAGATCCTCCTATAGCGCTTTCCCCACCAGTTCCCCCCCCCCCCCAATCAATATCTATGCCCCAAGAGTGCAGACCCGTGATACGTTGTCTCAAAGAAATCACACGATCTATCTCTTGCGACCTGTTGATTTTTGACAATCATGATCGCAAATGAACCCCAGTTAACACGATCCGGGAACTTCCATAACACAAGAGGCAAGACGCACACCACCTGTTCTTATATTACATCCTGGAACCAAGGAATAGTGTAGTTTCTGACTCTTCCTCTTGTGCGAAGTATCGACATTCCAGCTGCGATACCAACTTTCCATAACATCCGTCGCACGTCAGCCTACCGGACCCCTATTTTTGTTCTAGGATTTGCTAATCCGAGTGACTTCGGATGACGTGACAGTAAGATACCCACAACCTTACGCACCAATATATCCCATCGGGCCCCGTCAGACTGTTGAGGATAATCGACTATATTCTTCAAAATTCCTTCGCTAGCATCCAGGGTTAATAAGTTCTGTTCTCACTGCTTGAGCTTTCCCTAGCCCCACACCTTCACTACTGTTGCCTTCTCAGCTCGATCCTGGTTCGCTTCAGCTCTCAATAGCAACAACCAGTCTCGGCGACCGCAACCTATTGGATGACCGCATGCCCAAATTCAGCTGGTACCTTAACAAATCCGATATCATCGGAAATTAACATCTCAATCATGCGCAGAGGCTAAGCGAAAAAGCCGTGGCGCCTGTCGGTCATATAAGGTTATACTTATGTGTGCTTTCGCCCCTTCCCGCCCCTGCACCGAACGAGTGATGGCTTCCCTTGAAGAGGACAATGCAACCGCAGACCAAAAATCGCAACTATCACCACCGGTTCCCCCGCCAAAGACACCGCCGGGGAAATCACATCGCAGAAACCGATCTGATGCGTCTTCCAGCTCTCGGGGAAAGAAGAGAAGGCAAAGGGCATTCTCTGGCTCCGGAATCTCTATCTCACATTCCAGTACGGGATCAGGGGAGCATGAGGACCCCACTACACCAAAAAGCACTAGACAGCCTTCACCACACATTGTACCCTATAATGCTAATGTAGCTCACTCTCCAGTTTATAGAATGCCCGTGCAATATGGCTATTATAATAGCGGCTTTCCGCCTGCCCCTCCTCCTTCTCTCCCGTTTCCTCCTACGCTCCCTTCACGTCAATCCATGGGAATGTCTTACCAACGACAGAGAGTAGATTTTGAGGGGTCCTACAATGGTCCATGGGCTTCGGGGCCTGTAAGAATTGAGGGTACACGAATGGGCCCCAAAGGGCTAAATAGCGAGTACTATGAGCAAGGCCGCCAGGATATTCCACAAATTTTGATTAGTAGTGAAGACGATTCCGAAGATGGTCAGTGGTATTCAGGATCGGACGACGATCAAACCGAAGATGGAGGGAGCGAGGATAAGGGAAAGGGAAAAGGCAAGGGAAGAGCAGGTGAGAACGAATCAGAGGGTAAGAGAACGCCACCGGTAGGAACAAAGTTCCAGAGGAAGACCCCACAACTGGGTACAAAGGTTATTCTCCGGTTTTCTATTCCCATACTAATGGACCAGCTCAGCACCCCCTCCAGATATACCACAGCCTCAGGCTTCTCAAGCTTCGCAGCAACCACGGCGTGGCTCTCCTCCCCCATCTCGAAGAACAGGCTATCCATACGTTGCCGAAACACTCACTAACCACCCGTCACTCGCGCTTTACCGCCGCTTCTCAACATTGAACCATCTGGTGCTTTTACATTTGCAAGACGAAATCTCAGAACTAGAATCAATTCTTGCGGAATTAGACACCGCCGAATATCTTTCTAATGCTGGCCTTGGACTGCGTTCACGGCGCGTAGGAAGTGGTGGTGGTGCAAAGAGAATACAGGTCATGGGCGCTGTCGCGTGGAAACTCAGGGAGTACCGTGAGTCTCCTCACGCTCTCCTGCGGTGGAACCTACTAAGTTGACCGCACACAGACATGGCATTGAAAAACTTTGCAGACGTCGCAGACACGCTAGAGGCAGCACGAGAGGACGAAATAATGGCATACAGGAAATGGATGGACAGCGAGAGACCTTTAGTTGGGCCCGAGGGCAGGTTTCTCGAGAGCCGAGAAGATCTAATATCCTTACGAAAGACGCCAAAGCTAGACTCTCCAGTCGTACCTACTCCCCCACCGCAGGCAGCACATTCACAATCGCAACCACCACCACCACAATCACAGCCACAGTCTCATGAAGACTCACCACCAGAAGAGCCAAGCGAGCCAATGGTGGAAGACCCGAAATCTACAGCTCCCGAACCAATACCCAAAGAGGTATCTTCTTTAAACTCACATCACCACCTCCCCGCATAGATCAAAAGAGACAAGACTAATTACCCAAGCCGTTACCATCCCCCACCCCAACACTCTCGCTCTCCGTCAAAATCTACGCGACGTTAATCTCGCTTGGCATATCAGCAGTGGGAGGGTGGATCCTTGAAAAAAAGTCAGAGATGCAGGTACCCGCGGCACTCACGATTGGAGCGTACGTGTTGATCATGATCCATCACCAAAACAGGAAGTTGGGGGGAAGGGAATAAGTTGTTTTTTTCGCTGATAGAATTGCCGTTGTGTGCAAACAGGTGCGGGGGGGCCATGGGCGTTATGTGGATGTTTTTATGAATCCTAGGGTTTCTATTATGCGTTATGGTAACGACTTTTTCTGATGAATTGGTAAGTTTGAGATGAGATATGAAGGAATGCTGGGGGCGAAGGACGAGTGATGATCTGTGATCATGTCCTATTTTTATTTTTATTTTTATTCCTATTCTTTTCTCCCTTCCTTTTATTCTCTTACTCTCCTGCCTTGTTTTGTTTTATCTCTTGGATCCCCTTTATTTAGCTTTTTTGTCATTTCATCCTACAGGGCTTCTGGAGCAGATGGGTGTTTCCGGTCATGTTTTTTATGTTTTGTTTCGTCCACTCCATTTCAATCCCTTGTTTGGTGGCGAATTTCACAGCCTTTTTTTGAGTGAGCAAGCTAGAACCAAAGAGGAATCGTGGATCAGCAGTTTTGGGATAGAAGAGAGCGCAAAAGGCCACAGGAGAAGTTAGGACTTTTTGCAACCCCCGAGAAGTCCGTTAGAGAATCTATGAAGGACATTTCCCACGCTAGCCCAGTATAGCGCCAGAATTGCGGAAGAACCACAAAACCAAAGGGGAGAATCACACCGAGTACCCGAGCGGTACCTTAACTCGCCGTGTAATCGATATCGTACATGATACCGGTATGGTGCCCACCACTTATCGGCCACCGGCAACCCGACCGTACCATACCATCCCATTTCAAAACTGGAAACCCGGCAGCGGGCCCGCCGGCCCCCACCCCGATCCGCCGCAACAATATCGTACCCGTTATATCCCCGCACACCCCACCCCCGGGAGGGAACATGATCCACCCGGACGACACATCTCACCTTCTTGCATCGTAGCTTACCCACCACGACACGGCACGGCACCCACATTTTCCTTCCTTTCCTTTCCTTTCCTTTCCTTTCCTTTTCCAATCTGCAGTTCGGTGCTGTACAGTACTCGAGTAAGCATTGAACGGCACGGCACTTTTTTTTTTTCATCAACATTGAATGCCCTGACCTCCTCGGCAGGTAATCTCGTGATGGTGTTTGTCCCGTCGTGCAGCTACTGTAGGATACCTCTCTTTATAATTGTTTCCATTATTATTGTTTGGTCCCATCCTGTTTGGCTGGTTCAGTCCCTCCCGCTCTCAGGACGTCCCCGACGTTACTCGAGGAAGCTCTGTGAAACAGTGGGCGGAATCATTGATTTTCGAAAGGAAAAAAAAAAAATCTATTCTTTTTTTTTCTTTCTTTTCTTTTCTTTTCTTTTCTCCCCCCCCCACACTTCGAAAACGAAAATTTCCACAACCCACCCACTCTACTTCTCAGAGATGATGAAGTTTACCTCCCGGTTCTGGAACCAATCCAGAGCCCTACCGTAGCGTCGGGAAAGATGGAATGGAATGGAATGGGGAAAGTTAAAGGGCAGATAGATTGCCGGGCCTTGAGTAAAGGACGAGTGGGTTGGGTTGAATTGGGGTTGTGTTGAGCCAGCGAGTCCCCTCTTGATTGGGCTTGTGTTACTTTGCTAGTTCTACTCGGGTATGGTAAATTTAGAAATGGGCGGAAAAATTTGGGTGGCGGGACAAGGAATATTTGAACCGATCGATTATCATCGCCGCGGCAGGGTCTGGAGCAAGTGGCAAAAGAAAGAAAGAAAAAGAAGGGAGTGTTACAGGACGCCATTAAACAGAGAAGTTTCACAAAGTGATCGTTCATGATCCCGAATCCGCGGATTTTACTAGGATCGTATAGGGCCAACCGAGACCAAAAGAGAGGGAAACCAGGGTTTTGGGGATTGCGCCTTTAAGAAGCTCATGAATGAACAAATTGAACGGGAACTACCGTACCCATCGAGATATCATTCTTGAAATGCACCCTAGCAGCTAGTCTACTAAGATTCCCACAGCTGCGAGTGTACAGCACAGTATCGTACTCCGGGTTTCCGGTGTCCGCCAAGACAAGAATTTTTCCATCATCAACACAACCTGTTCCCCTAACCATACCCTACTCGGGCATTCGTACTGTACATGATCTTGCTGATCTCTCTCTCTCGGCCCTTTTCTACTATAATTTACCTGAGCACAGCACTCTCTGGCCGACTGCCCGTATGATTATTATGAGAAGGCGTGGGACACATACAAATCAACATCGCCCGTCATCCACCTACTTTTTTCTTTTCTTTTCTTTCTCATTCCTTTTCCCTTCTTGGGGTCTCAGGGCATTGCTTTTTTTCGGTAAACTACCGCGCCAGAGATGAAGGGGAGAGAGAGAAGCAGTCAGCAGTGGGGTTTTATTTTTTGTGCTATCTGCCGTATGCCGGTGGTCGGTGTGCTCTATGGGTATGGTACGAGTAGATTTACACAACAAGTGCTGATGCTTGGGGGAATGGTTCGCCGATGGCCAATCTTGAGCAAAGTGCTGCTATTGAGAGATCCCCGTCTTCCACCATGTTTACCCCTACAAGTACAATCCACTGCCAGATAAGAAATGGGGCTAAACCACAATAGGCTTGGCTGAACAAGTTAAAAAGAAATTACAAATACCGGTTAATGGGATCCAGCGAGCTGAGCGAGCTCCAGCTATCTCTGACCGGTGTTGCATACAGGAGATCTGGTTAAGAAAATGACGAGGTCTGGAAAGTCTCCTTCCTTAACTAGAAAAATAAATCACTTGCCTGTACAGTACGAGTACTCGTATCCTCTCAACCTGAGACCACCGATCTCTTGGCCTCTTTGACGGGCAGATGGATACCGAGTCGGGAAAGCGGGATTCCCTCTCAAGATGTTTATTCCTAAATACGGAGGTTAGATGTCTGGTGGAGGTAGTGGATTGTAGGATATTTTACGCTATTTGTATTAGTTTGCGATTTCGTACAATACGAGTACTTATCTAAAATCCGCTAAGCATGGTGCTTGAAGGTACCGTACAGTACGGGGGCTAAATCCTGAAGTGATACCAAAAGCTTACTGGTACTACCCACGGGAAAATTTTCTGATGCGTTGCTCCCGGCACCGAGGGCTCCGAGTACCGACAGTGGCAAGATGACATAGCGACGGTTCTTGCTTGCGGTAATCGCCGCAGTGTTGATTTGGCGCGAGGAAGACTGCACAATGATTGGCGACGAAAGTATGCAGATTAAATTACCTGGATGGGCCAAGTTGCGGCTGGCGAATAAAATTTGGTGGGCGCTACAGCTCCTCAGTTTTCTGGGAGTACGGTATTGTAGCTGAATAGATGTGATAGCCGGCTGAATGTGGTGGGCGACATAGCGATATGCTTGGGCACAATATGTACTTTTGATGAAGTATTTTTGCACCTGATAGCGCCGCCACCCAGTCCCATGGACCTTTTGGCTTGGCGTGGTTTTCTGAGAGCATTTTCCCCGAAATACTGTGCTTTACGCCGACGTAATTTGAATCCTAGCGAGACTCCGGAGAAAGCTCAACCCATGGGAGCTCGTGAGTGCTGCGCGCCAGTCTGAATCAAGGCAATGCGGTAGTGTTCCCGGGTGTCACCCTCGCGCGCCTTGCCGGGGAACAGAGACTCTTTAGAGACTAACTCGGTTTGTCCCGGAGACTTGTCTTCCCTGATTGAAGCACACAGCGCACTCCTACACCCCCCCCCCCATTTATCAGTGGACCAGTTCTAGAGTACGAAGAGGCTCAAGCACTGCGTCCAATTCGGAACTTGACCCATTAGTCCCACTGATCTTATCCCATTAGTATCGCCCATGGACCGCTAGCGATCGGATGCACACAGATTTTACTCGAGCGCTCAAGTCGCTATTTGTCCAGCATGACAGGGGTTGAACTTCTTCGAGTGATGACCGATGATTCCATGACAGCAGCAGGCTTATAGCACCAGTAAGGGTTTAACAAGTATCAGCGGTCTAGAAACTTGTATTATACCTGGCAGGAAAGTGGGTGTTGACGCCCCAAATGTGGCCGACTGTTATCCAAAGCGCCCGCGGACATGTCCGGTGCACATGCTTGTTCATGTTGTCGATTTTTACATACCCAGCGTCAAACAATAACCCCCAAAAGACAATAGTCTAAAAATATGTGATTCTTGAGTGTGCTTGTCATGGAGAAGGATGGTGCGTTGGCTCGGGGCAAGGTTCGCCTTTCTTGTGACGGCCAAGTGAAAACCCAGCATGCGTCTCCGCCTTGTTATAATCCTTGCTCACTTGTATTGACAACCGAGCTTTGATCAATCGTTTAGCTGCCGCTCCCTCGGAGCATGTAGATCGTTCTGAGCATTCCAAGTGCGACAGAAACATTTTATTCTGTATCTCGCAAACTGATTGCTCGCCTTCTCGGAACATATGTACGATAAGATAAGGCAAGCGAAGACCACCGATGTCAGCAAACTAAACCCATACCGGCAGTGAACGGACCCATTGTGTACCTAAGACGGAAGCCACAGGGCACCGAGCCAAGTCATGGACGGCCACATAGGCTTACATCCATGCCAAAGCCAATTCCTGCATGTGGATGTATGCACTAATATCTCCAGTAGAACTTGGCCTCGATAGGGAACAGGCATCTCCTAGGTAAGGAGTGCATGATGCAGGAAAAAAGCAGAAAAAAATCTCACTTTTGGTGAAGATAGTGTAGTTGCACCCAATCCCCGGAACGAGTGTCATCGCGGACAGACTTGCAAGCAATGCAGCCGTATTCGGTATACAGGACTAGTTAAATCTACTCGTACAGCATTAGTCCCCGGATGTGATAGGGTCTATTTCAGACCTCATGTCCTCTCTCAGCCCAGCCAGTGCCTCACGCATCCGGGCAATTGCTGTGTCACTCGAATCATGATACTGGCACCGGCAGTATCCTAGCTCGAACAGTATCCCATTGGGGATAGGGAAATCTCTTGTGCGTGGTTCCCCACACTCAAGCTTATGTTTTTCGATCTTTGATAAGTCTCATGGAACCATGGCTTGGACAAGCCATGGGATCAGCCCGGTTCCGTACCAAATACTGGAAGTGTTCTGTCTTGACCCCATCAATGTGATATACCGGTGGTGCCAAAGGGAAGTTCCCTCTCGAACTATCTGGCTCACATAAATTCACCAGGGTCTTGCATTAGTGAAAATCCAGACCCCCATTTGTCAAGGTTTGCATAGTGCCGCGAGACGGAACCTACGCCCGATACTACGATTCGACATTGTGTTGTTCATGATAAGGACTGCTCCCTCCGAAAAATCGATTGCTATTCACTGCCCAGAAACTGTGAAATACCGGCATATTCGGTGAACCTCAAAGGCTTCGGATCGAAACCTGGGCTGCCTCAAGGATCAATATATCAGATCGAGAGGATATCTGTCGATCCTAAGTCTGTCAGGAAATGCAGCAAAAGGGAAGAGGTTGGAAAAAAGAAAACCCTGGGGAAAACACGGGAAAGAGGGAAGGTTAAGTTATAGCCAGGGACCCCTTGGATCCATCCCACGGCACATAGCGAAGGGGGGTGTAAGCAATCGCGTACCTTGTTTCTCGGATATGATGCGATGACAGCGCTTCTCATCACTTGCGGTAGATGGTACACGTATGTCCCGCTCCCACAAACGCATTCGACATCGCCCTCTCCCACTAGTTCCCGCTTCCCCTCACCTCTGTGCTGTTTGGATCAACCCCCAAACTTTGAATGATTGATCAATGGTGTCTCACCTAATGCAAAAATTTGGCATGGGTTAAGCTGGTGTACGAGTAATGAGCCCGCAGAAGCAGATGCACACCATTAAACAATGAGATTTCTTGCGTTCGAGTGGACTGGCCAAATAGGCGCCATCAGATGGTGCAGGAAATCTTGAGGCAAGTGTGGACTGAATGCTTGTGCCCAACCGGGTGGACGAGCGGAAGTTCTGCGGAAAGCAAATGACATGCTTTATGGAGGTCAGTGAGCGCGGAAATCCTCACGATATGTCACTCACATGCTCGGCAGAGTTCCTTGCCATTCTCCAATTGGTGTCGGGCGCAAGTCAGGTACGCGAAGTTCCGGCCGGTGCGTTAAAAAAAAAAAAGGAATTCCTTCTTTCCTGGTACCGCAGGGTTGGTAATGGGTTGGGAGAAGAAAAAACGTCAGTTTGCAATGACCCAAAATCGCTGAAATGATTGGATCCATATAACTTATTGCTAGCACTAATCTGGGGGTCTTCGACTCCTTTATGTGTATTACTCGCTCGTGACCCAAATGGAATTTTGAGGGCCATGCTGACAAACGAACGAATACCGGTTTCGTACTTTGTGCTATTAGAGAACTTAGAGCCGGGATCCGGGAAACTGTGCCTCTCCCGGACTACAAATCTCCTAGTAAATCGCCTGATGCGTCCTGCCCTACCGGTAGCAGATCCGCCGGCCACACCTCATCTCCCGTATCAAAGGGATAGCAAGGGAAAAAAGAGATCTGTTGGTGCTTGAGGCAATAAAGGTAATGGCGAGCGAACTTCCAATCAGAATATGAATACGATGGGTTGGCTAAGCCATATCTCAATCAAGGAAGCATACTTGAACACAACACGGAGCCGGGCGCCCCCGATCACCGAGAAGATGTGCTTTGCTGCTCAAATATGGGAAAAATTTTCCTCCAATCATAAAACTGGCAGAGCGGCGATCGGGTTGGTATTCGAGTACAGTACATTGAGCCGGGATGCCGTATTCGAGATATCCCTGAATGCGAGTCTCACATTCAAGGATGTTCTTTTTTTCTGCTTTTTCCTTTCAAGATCGAGAACTGATAAATTCATAGGGCCTTTCCTCACTTTCTCCTTCTCCATGAACAGCAAAGTAATGCGCGGGGGGAGAGAAAGAAAGATCAGAGTTCCAGGAGAGAGTACTACACTTGGTTTCTATGATCTTGTGCAACTCCAGATCGCTTATTGCTGCATCCCGCAATACTCGTACATCATGCGGGGGTAGTGATCGCTCCAACAGATTGCGTTCCACAAGGAAATTATTATTCCCCACGACGCCCAACCAAAAAATGTGCTCGAAGGGAACAGGAGGGGTGAAGCGGATCATACGGTAGGCGGCGGTCAGCTCAGCACTGATCCAGATGAAAATCTTACATTGCCGTAAAAATTCTTGAAATTCGCTACCCGTATCTCCGCCCGCCCTGCTACCTCCGGGTTCAGAGACAAAAAGCTCCTGGTGAGGATTGGCGCTTCTTGACTCGGTATTGGACCCCATTAACCGGTGGCCGCAACTCTCTTAACCTGCCAAACTAAACCTATCGTGGGCTGGCTGGCCGATTTCCGTTGATAATAGAGCCATTGCACAACGAGCTCGAAGAGTGCCTTCCAAAGGACACTGCGATAGAACTGGGTTTAACCTCCAAGTGAAACAACGATTACAAAGGCTAGACGCCACCTGACCCTCTTCCCAGGCCTCTGATAATCTGGTAGCAAATTTCGAGAGCCCTTACGCCCCAGCACAATTTGTACGATCATACCCTACGTTCACATTTTCGAGGACATGATAATCGCTGAGCCCAAAAGTAACAATAATCTGGTAAAACCCAAAGCTCTTATCACTCTAGTGAGTGACATCTTGTGACTCAAGGATCATCCTACACATTCCCCGGTTCATAGGCATTTTTTTCGCACCTGCTATTGTGCGGTGCAATCGGAGAGGAAGGGATAATCTTTCCATTGGGATGGTGGGGGGAGAAATGGTTTGCTGTGCACCACAGCTCTGTGCAGAAAAGGACAAGGACTTTCGATCTTTCTCATGAAACTAAGCACTCGTGTGGTTAGGTCAGTTCTCGGTAACCTGACATCTAAGGCGCTATTGGCCATCAACAGGACGTATCCTCAAAGTGCCCATCTTTTTGGCTCATAGAGCGCCGCCTTACCTCCTCACTACCACACTGCGCAGAAACCACCCCTTGGCCATCTCAGCTCTATTCAACCTGAACCAAGGCCGCGAATGCCTGTTGCTAAGCGCTCATAGTGGTAGAGGCTGAAACCTGCAGTTGAAGGCGCCTATTAATAGATGTATTTATAAATACCTATCGCGCCGCCAGCTGCTTATGGAACGATAGACCTTGTTTTTTCGGCCCGACCCACTTGATCCACCTTGTTAATTCACCTAGGGTCACCCCAAACTTTCTTGCATTTTCAGATAGAAACCTATAGCCCATGACAGGAATATCGGACGAAGATGTTGAGAAGATACTCGCAGAACATTCGGAACAGCCTCGGGATGTCGACGAAGCCATGGGAATTGGCAAAAGAGCCGGAGATGAGATAAAGGTGAGAGAAGCGAAACTCCAGCGAGAAAAGGGGGGGGGTCAGCGGGACTGAAAAAAAAAAAAAACTGATGGGAAACTTTCCTATCGAAATGCTACCTATAGATTGCTAATTAATTCCCTAATGAGGTGATCGAATACAGGCAGAAGCGAGGAATCTCTACGAAAAATACAATTTGGGCGGACAAGATCGCACATACAGTCGGATCCCAGACGAAATCAAGCGACCTGCAGAAGACGAACTCTACGCATGGATGTCAACGAGATATCCACAGTTTGCCTCCCAAAAGTATGCGAGCTGGAGGATGGCGCGGGCCTGGAAATCATTAGCACGAAGGAAAAGTCGGAGAACAAGAGGTGTGTCTTTTCCCATGTACCGGCCCATTTTCTACCCTTACTAAAAAGTAGCTCCCGCAGGGCTAAATAACGGTAATCCACCACCTGAAGAAGGGGGGGAATCATCAGCGGCAGATAGCAAAGGTGATTTCTCCATAAACAAGAACGCTCACGATTGCCCTCACTAAATTTGCCCAAGTCCCCAGCACTCCCGAAACACCACGAGAAGCGCCAGCCAGACCTAAAGGTGTGTTTCCGCCCAGCGGGAACCCTTCCACCCTACAAAAGCTAATAAAGTATAGGACCTTTCAGACCATGGGAGTAGCAGTGACACAGGAGTAACCGGAAATGGGAAGACATGTTTAGGGAATAGAGAAGGAGTTTTTAGAGGGGGGAGGGTTACCCAGGGCGGGGGTTGTATTTTTTTTATTTTTTATTTTTCTTTTTTTCTTTTATCATATTATCATACAAGAATTGATTCATCTTTCATAGCGGGCTATGCCGCAGGCTCGGGTTTCACTCCGAGTTGTGTTTCGACGATCTGCAAAGCAGAGCGACACGGAAACACTATCTCCACCCGTGAATCTATTGCGCCTCATACCGCAACACGTCTTCAATAATGGGTAGTTGCTATGCGATGGATTAAACACATGAGGTTATGATATCGAGTGATAAAACATGACCCCCACAGATGACCCTAGCTTAGTTTCTCCACTGTACTCGTAGGGGATTTGTGGGGGAAAACTTGTAGAGATGCGATGACAGGGTGGATGCGTCAATGCGCCCGTCGCACCCGACAACTCCTTGACACTTCGCCGACTCTACCACACTCGATAAGGTACCAGCACAGTAATGCAGGCTTAGACGACTTGATAGGGGGGTTTCTTTGATATACAACAAGACACCGTAACCTCCTCTGTCATGATTGCCTTACCGGTACCCTCTTTTTCCCACACCTGGGCAACCGGGATAGTACCGGTAATCTGAGCCTCCCGCGATACCCGACTCGCGCAGGGTGATAAAAGTACCCAAGGGGTGAACATAAGTGAAGCGATTTCGGGTTTTGCTGGCCAAAATCTGGTGAGTGTAACCAGACGAATGGCCAATCCTGACTCTTTCCCCCCGCCGGTGGGGAAAAATGGGGCAACCCTCTGCTCCTCCTGCTGTACAATAGTGGCTCCAAGATATACTTCTCCCTGAGTGGCCGAGGCGGCCCGCGAGCCAATCACGCCTCCTTCGCCTCACTCACCCTGAACGCCGGGCATAACGAACCCGAACATTTGACCATACAAAATTTCGCCCCCTGATGCCGGATAGGTTTAGCTAGGATAAATTTGAGGAATTACGCCCCCCTGTGTTCGGGTTCATTATGCCTGGCATCATATCATACGTGTGTACGAGTGCAGGACTGTACTAGTACTCCACACTATGATACTGTGCTACACTTTCGAGGAAAGAGGGTTGTCGGTTACTGTCGCTCTAGTTCAGGCGAGCCACATTGCACCATGGGCTATGGTAGCATTTGTATGGCATCTTGTGACAGAACCAACTCGTGACACCTAAGCTGAGAACATGTCTCTCCTTCGGGTTTTACAGTGCTCGTATTTGCCACATTATCCCCCCGGATTTCCACGGCAGCACAATACTCGAGTAGGCTTGAATCTACCGGTGCTCGAGCACTGGTGATTCCAAATCAACCACCAACTCCAACCCTGGCACTGATAAGTCCAGTTGGCCTATGACAGGTTGCTGGGGTCCGCAGCTAACCCCTTCCCATTTGGGTAGTCCTCGACTCCGACATCCTCTTGCAGTAATACCACCAACATTTACTCGTAGAAATCATGACTGTTCCGGGCATTCAGTGCACCAGCACAATACTCGTACCTCACGTACCAAAAAAACCCCGATTCACCGTCATACTGCACCGCCTTTCTAGGGGAACACTTTTAAAACCCCTCAATACCCTGATTGGATCTCTCTCATTCGTAGCCGCAGAATGCCTGCACCTCATTCCCGCCTGCTTGCCTGTCTAATTGACACGTTTATCGTCAGAAGGGTTGACTAAATATAGTGCGGGGTGAAGGAAAGCCTCTGCCTCCATGAATGAAATTTGGTTTGCCTTTATTCGCTTTTTTTTTTTTTTTTGCCGCATGTCACGTTTTGTGCGGCCGGCCGGCCGGCCGGGTGCGGGACGGTGCCATGGGCCCCCGCGGGTGTGCAGAGTAGAGTGTGCTTTGTACTATATTTACTTGCTTGGGACGAGTGCTTTGGGGGGGGTCAAATTAGTCCTTTCGGCCAAGTTGACACTAAGTTATCCTCTAAAGTGCCCGAAAAACACGTAGCATAATTTTTTTGAATTTTATATCAGTGCGCAGTACCCGAAAGCATATTTTTATTCCCGATATTGTGATCTGCTTGGTATGATATGATGTGGGCTTGAATCTTATAACACTATTCCACTTCACCACCAAGAGCCCCCAACACACCGAGCTGGAGCCTATCATATAAAATTCATTGGAGGATGGGCTCTGATAGCCACTTCTCGGCTTACCAATTCATCATAATCCCTACTCGCAGAGCATCATACAAAATAAATTTACTGACCTTAGTCTAATGTCTCTACCCCGCTTACCCTGGCCCTGGACCCACACAGGAAAGTGATTATTCCGACGCTACCGGATAATTCGGGTTCCAATTTATGATCCAAAATGGCAAAACCTAACCCACCGCACAATAATATCCCGGTTTCACTGACGTCAGTCCTTCGCCATTCCTTTTTTATCAATCCCCCTCCATCGGATAAACCTTCATTTTTGCTACCGTGGGGACCCTTCTTCGTCTCAATTTTGAGAAAAGTTACCCTACCATATTAACTCGTGTGATACCGACTTCTGTGGTATGATATGGCGACGATATTGCGAAGAGAGACTTGTGTTCGGGGGGTGAGTCGACGGGCAGCAGTTTGCGGAGGGAGCATAATCCAGCGAAGGACTTTCTCGTTACAGGAATTGGACGAGAAGAGGGGGAGTATGGAAGCCCCTGAGCCAACCATCATGCAAATACAATATAATTGTGACAAGGTATCAGGACTGACGGTTTATAGCCCGAGAGCGCGTTGTAATACTCGGGTCAGGATGGGGTGGCTTCGGGCTCGCCCGGCAGCTCGACCTACGGCACTACCAACCCCTAATTATCACTCCAAGAACGTACTTCGTCTTCACTCCGCTGCTCGCTTCTACCGCCGTCGGAACGCTGGAATTCCGACAGGCGATGGAGCATTCGCGTTCCCGGCCTGGCATCGAAGTTATCCGCGCTTGGGCAGAGCAAATTGATCTTTCGAAGAAGACGGTCACGGTTGAAGGTGCTGTGCAGAGCAAGGATAAGGTGGGGAGTGTCATTGGTGATGGAAAGCAGTTTGAGGTGGGATGGGATAAAGCTGTTGTTGCCGTGGGAGCTTTCAGTCAGACTTTCGGGGTCGAAGGGGTTAAGGACCATGCTTTTTTCCTGAAAGATGTGGCAGATGCTCGGGCTATTCGGAGGAGGATACTGGAGTGTGAATACCCACAAACCACTTTCAGAGTGAATTATAGGGGTTTGCTAAGCGAAGCCGCTCTATAGGTTTCGAAGAAGCAGCTTTGCCCACCGCAAGTGAGGCACGGAAGAAACAACTTTTGCATTTCGCTGTTGTGGGGGGGGGGCGTGAGTTCACCCTGTATCTGCCAATCGCGAGATTCGCTAACCGAGATGTAGCTACTGGGATCGAATTTTCCGCTGAATTACATGATCTCTTGTCGGACGATCTCACAAAGCTGTATCCATCCCTCGCCAAGTACCACCGTATCACAGTATACGATGTAGCCCCAAGAATCCTTTCCATGTTCGATACCTCCCTAGCGAAATACGCCGAAAAGGTATTCTCACGACAGAAAATCTCAATAAAAACAAGCCACCACGTGCATAAGGTAAATTCCGAAGCAGTCCACACGCGAGAAGATGGCGAAGTTCTGGTTGGCTGTGTTGTCTGGAGTACAGGTTTGGCGCCCAACCCATTCCTAGCAAAGGCACTGAAGGGCAAACTCCAGATGGATGAGCGAGGCTCCAAAATCGTCGTGGACGATCACCTGCGGGCTTCGTCCATGGACGAAAGGGGTAGCACATCCTGGCCATTGGACGACGTTTTTGCTATAGGCGACTGCGCTTCCCTTGGCGGCCAGGAATTACCCGCTACGGCACAGGTCGCAAATCAGCAAGCAATCTGGCTCGGGAAGACCCTAAACAAGGCTGCAGTCCGCAAGGCTGCAGAAGGGAAACCCGGGCCCGTCAAGGTACAAGATGAAAAAAAGTTTAGATTCCGAAGTCTAGGAATAATGGCATATCTCGGCGGTTGGAGGGCTATAACTCAAAGTGGTAGCGCAGAACTTAAGGGGTACGTAAGATTCGTATTACCCCACATAGGGGGAGAGCTGTTAGTTGCTATGGAGTATGGGGTGTGCTCGGCTAACATTAGGCGCCGCAGACGCATGGCATGGGTTCTCTGGAGGACAGCTTACCTGACTAAAAGCGTTAGCTGGAGGAATAGGATCTTGATTCCTACTCTTTGGTAAGACACTGGATTCACTTTCCCTGCTGGGTTTCGCATGAGTGTATGTGAGTGGCTTGACACTGACTGTTCTGTAGGTTTACAAATTGGGTAATGGGAAGGGATATAAACAGATTTTAGTCTGTGCCCTGGATCAAATCCGAAGGGTAGCACGGATAGTAATTCTATGGTGGTGTATGGGTCAGCATAGGTGTACTATGGATTGTTTGGGTTTAGATCATTCGATATCACTCGCAACTCATTCGATTAGCGGAGCGTCATACCGCCAAACTTGCAGGCATTGATGAGAAAACATTGGCTCCCGCTCTCGGGGGTACCTCGGCCCCTACGGCTAGGTTGCGCGAACCCAATGTTTATCGATATTGGTAACTATCTTTGTATAGGTTAGCTGCCTTAACAGCCTTACTTTCGCGGCCTTGTAGCCCAAAAATACCAACAACCTTGTCCACAGTACTGCGGGACTTATCAATCGGGCGTCATGACTTCGATCGCCTTATTTAGACTGAGGCAGTTCATCACCGACGAGGCTTTGAATTCCAGTGGCTTTACCGGCCTTTGACCACTATCGCCACCTCTCCCCCGTCGTCCCCACCGATCTAGCCGACCCTCCCCAAAACTTAAGCTCACTGCCTTAGGGTCTAAGAAATTAATCAGGGAACTATCTCTTATCCTACTAGTGCCAGCAGTCCGAATCTCTCACCCGCCAACCCTATAGTGACGTCAAAAATTCGTGGGGTGGTGGTCCTCCAAGAAAATGTTCGTCATACTCGGGTAGAATTAGTTAGTCGGGGGAAAAATACAAGAAAAAACCGCAGACTTTAGGAGAGAGACCTTTCGCAAGAGACAACGGACCAGGTAACCCCCCAGACCCAAAAATCAGGGTTGCACTTGGGTGAGACGAAAATAGTGACAAAAGTGCTCCTGACCGTCGGCGACCACACTCCCACCACCTCTTCTAACTTTAAACGGGAGGGCTAGGACTTCCTCACACATCCAAACCCCCGCACCTGGGTGTCATTCATACCCTCTTGCCCCTCACATACTCACCCTCTCTCCATCATACGCCTTTCACTGCCCAGACATGCAGCAAATGGCCTACTGCCCAACCCCCAAACCAACCCGGAGAAGGCGCTCAGAACGCTGGACTGGAGGGCATTGGACATTGGCCCGAGATATAAGGATATCTGCCCACTGGCCACCGGCTGCAAAGGCGAAGAAAGGCTATATGAGGACCTCCACTGGAAAGGCCTTCTAGCAACCTGAAAAATGCTAATTCCAGAATCACTTGATACAAAAAACCCCTCTGTACTGGATAAATGGCTGCTAGGTTCCTGGTCCATGGGCAACAGAAAATCCGCATGGTCTAGGTACAGTTAGGGGAAAATGGCTTGTGGAGATCCCGTCAACGTTACGGTACTCCCACGGCGAGGCAGAGAAGCAACGGTACGTTTTTGTGTTGGACTATTTCTTCCTGGGTGGGTGTAGACTTGTTACGATGCACTGTTTTGAACGCGGAACGGTGAGGGTTTGGGGGCGCGGGTTAGGCACTTCGATTTTTGCCCGAGGTGCTTGACGAGCTGCTCCGCGGGAGGTTCGTGGCGGTGATACATGCATTCCAGGGAAGGAGTGCATAGGTATTCTGATGCATTGTTCCTCTGTTCTCCCCTTCCCCCCTGCATCCCAGCCTTTTACAAGTGCCACGGTGACGTGAAACTGGGCAACATCTTCCTATCCTGCCAAAACTCCTAGGTCCTCAGCTACCTTGGCAACCACCACCATTCCCCGCACCCATATGTATCACTCACAAAGCTCTTCCACTCGGACTCGCGATTAGTAGGACTAGCGGAGGGGTGGGGGCCCCAACAGGCTCAGGGGGTGTTGAGGCCGTGAGGAGGGAAGTGAGGTCCTGGAGGGGTGGTATAGAGGAGAGGTCGGGCTAGTGAATGGAGGGATAGTAATGGCGGTGTTGTAGCTGGGGATCCAAAAGAAGGCGAAGGGGGCGAGAGCGCCAGAGGCGTGGAAATATTGATGTAGAGCTCCACCATGTCCCCATGAGGTGCACGAGACTGCTCGAGGTGATGATTCTGAAACGATGTTTCCGTAGTGGGGATTTATTCTAGTTTCATCCGTTCTCCTCCTATCCCCTCCTCCCCTCCCTCTCTCACTCACTCCCCTTTTACCATTTTCTTCCTTTCTCCGCCCATAGAGCCGGATTTTTAGTGTTTGGTAAGTGTGTACTGTGTACTGTGCCGGAGACCCCCAACCTCCAATCTACCAACCAGTTGACCCCGATCTGGTCACTACAAGTCACTCGCTTGGGAACGCTCTAAAAAAAGTGTCTGTGATGGTTCCTACAGTCCCTAAACAAAGTGTTCGGGAAAAGGTGAGACATCTGACTAAGCAGAATCAACAACATTTTTGGCTACTGGTGACTGCACAATGACACACAGTATCCCTGTACACCACAACTACGACCATCATTATCATCTTCACTATCATCACCACCACCATCATCATAATCATCATCTTCGCTGTCTGTCCATCCATCCATACTGCTCTCACGCTCATCGATAATGCCACTAGCTACAACACCAAAGCCCCCGGGCTATACAGCCAAGGCAGCAAATAAAACAAACATAACACATAATTATTTTTATCTTTTTTTTTCTGCTTCAAATTGAATACCCTCACTTTCGCAAGGCGTACTCACACATTTCAATTCCTCCACACGCTTTATAATTTCCACTGCGGTCCAGCGAGAGGATCCAATCCAACCATTCACGGGCTATTATGACAACAATTCATACTGAACTTGTGAACTATTGGGGGGATGAGCCAATATTTACAGTAAAAAAAATACCTCACTCACTAACTCCTCGCATTCTAATCATTGACTCTGGGAAGGGCAGCAAGGTGGCCAGTTCTTAACCACTTCCTTCCAATTATTGGGATTTATTTCGCCCTCTGCCTCTTTAAAACGGACAAAGCGTATCAAAAGTGCTTTATCTGTATCCCAAATGCAAGATTTGGGATCATTTCTATCTTTCCCTACTCGCTCTTTGGTCACTTTCCCGTCATTTCCTCTCGCTTCCCGTTCCTCTGCCTCATATTGCCTTCCATTCCCCCTCCTCCTGTTCCGACAAACCGCGATACCTTTCCACGATACACTTCAACCCGGTTAAAAAAAAAAAATCCTCTGCCTACCCGTCTACTCCTCTTGACAGCTGCTCAAATGGCAGGCGGTGGTACGAAGGCATTCATGCATGCAGTATGCGCAGAAACGAATCCCTCGCGCGGCGCCTTGTCGGTCGCAGCCTGAGGAGAAACGGGAAGAAGAAAAAGCCTCGCCAAACCACTGTCCAAAGGCCACGAGGATGAGAGTTGAGAGGAGCGAAGCGAGTGATATCTATATCTTGGGAGAGAGAGAGATGCAACAACGAACGGTATGTGAATGAATCGCCGGGCCTTGATGAGTTGTATCAGTGCCGGTACTTGGCAAATCACAGAGGTGACTGGTTGCCTTGGCGACGGAATGTCCCGCGAATCTTGGTGCCAGAGCCTCTGGACACGATGAATTGTCAAGTAGAAGAAAAGTAATAATGATAACGCCTGGGTCGGGATAATGTAGGCTAGCTAAATACTCCCAACAATCAGTGAAATAAAGTGATTTATTTTGTTCGGTTGAGGGGAGAAAAAAGGGTGGGTAATCCAACTGATGGGATAAGCGAATCACGTGAGAGGCTTTTATTGAGGAGCTTATCGCGGAGAAACCTGCAGTAAAGGGACTTGCTCTATATATCGAGTGATTTCTTGTGACTATAGGAAACTATCTGATGCACTTCGCTAGCACTGTGCTCATATTGTTCATAGGATTCGTAATCATTGCAGCGTAAATTTCGTCAACTAGGATAGGAGATAGATGTCCGCCCGGTGTGATGTCGCCCACTACATGAAGAAGGAGAAGGCGCTGCACAAAAAGAAAAGAAAAAAAAAGGTGAGTTGGACGGAAGTAAATTGGAATAAGAAAATGAATAAATTCATCGAGCATTTTCTCTTAGTCGTTCCTAATTCCACATGCATATTTACTGCGTCCTATTAGCAGATGACATGCCCGACCCTAAGGTCAGGACATACCAAACCACTTGCGACCAGACTCGAATTGCTCTTCTCCAAACTCCCTCGCAAACCTATCCTCCGCTGGCAGCGATCCAACCTTGGCGTGTACAGACGAGGCCTCCGTGGCTCGGTTTCTCCGCTTGACCTTTTTCTTAGATGCGGCGTGTGCGGAACGCTTCCTCTTAGTTCTTTTTTTTCGCAAACCTTGACAAATTTCTGTGCGGGGCGTACAGAACGTGAGTATGGTGCTGGGGGGGGTGTTGTCCAGGGCTAGTGATAACATTCTGTTTTGGTCTTCATCTTCGAGAAAGCGCTGGATGCGGAATGATTCGGCTGTCCGGGGATCGGGGGGGGAAGAGTAGTTGATTAGGTAATAGCCGGAGAGGGATGCTTGGGGAGCTCGAGTGCCATTTCTACCGCGTTGTCAACTAAGACACCAAGCGCAAGGATAGTGTGCTTTGAATATTTACGTTAGTTGAAGGCTTTCTCCGCCCGGTACTCCTGTATTAGAAATATCCGTGTTCGACTGAGAACTGTTGTGCTCAGTATCGATCTCCATAGTGGACATCGCACTAATGAGCTCAGGTAGACTTCTTGGAGAAGATGTGGCGGTAGGAGGGGGTGTGGAATGTGTAGAAGAACTGCAAGAAGCGGACATAATAATTTGTAGAAGGTGATGTGTGAGGGGTAATGTGTTTGGAGGTTTTTGGTGTTTGGAGGGTCTTGCAAGGGAAGAAGGTGCCAGACTTTATACCTCTCCCCACCTGAGAGCATCAGGTAGGGGGCGCGTCCCAAATCCGAGCACCCTCTCACGAGGACAGCAGAAATCACAATCTTCCCAGAAGGCAGCCTATCTGTTCGAGCCGTCGCCGGTTGGCCACAGAGAACACCAGTAAAAACGACTAGGTGAAGTGTCCCTTCCGCGCTAAAGCTCGACATTCCTCTGGGCCGGTGCTCTATCGCGGGGGTGCACAACACCGAACCATAATCCTGAAAAGAGGAATATTCCGTAGATCAACTAGATCGATAACCTGATGCACAGGGGTGAGGAACGGATATGACCTGTACTCGTATGAATAACCCTAGGCTCCTTCCGCGCTTGTTCTAGAAGGTAATAATGAAGAGTTCATGTGTGTCCAAATCCAAGGATGGTACGATCTGGACTTACATGAACCCCGCATTATCAAACCGGTTTATAGTAAAGTCAGGAAACACGGAATGTTCGCTGAAGCATTCTCCCGGTATCCTGTTGGGGGGGGGGTGAGGGTCATCGTTCGAATTAACACCTTCGAGGTCCAGATTCATAAGTTAACGTTCAGGTTCGGCGCTACCACTAGCCGTCCCGAAGCCCCATTCCCCCAGGACACCCGCTACCCACCACCACTACTGCTCATCCAACAGGTGAGTGGGCGCGGGGAAAGGGGAGGCCTGGTTGTCGGGTTTTCTGTCGGTCCGGTGCGCATCGTGTATACCTCGAGCTCTGGCAGCTGATATTTCGATGGGATGCGGTGCAGAGGGTTGAGCTTGACTTGTTTGACGCCCATGGTTGCCTAGAATCAATAAAACCCCTTCAGAATCCAACTGAAATCAAGGAATTGGATTGTTGCTGCCAATCCAACTACGTTGTTCGACGTCATTCCGATGATGCCAATCCATTCAAACTCGTCGAAAAAGGGTTGAGAATGGGAAATATCCCTACGTCTGTACTCGAATATTTGTCGCTCTCCCCCGGGGTATTCCGAGATTAGGAATAGGCCGAGTGTGCACCAGTAGACGCGTTCTACTGGTCAGGTCACAGTAAGAGCTCCCCGGCCATACTGTGATGCTTTTGGTGAAAAATTGTGATTAACCTAGGTCATTAACCGCGCTAAAAGGGCGCGACAAATTTGGGGATTCCGCTTCATCTCTTACTCGAATACTTTGCAGGCCAAAGGCCATATACTCGCGCGCAAACTAAGGAAAGGGATGAGCCAAAAAGTGCCCGCTCGCTGTGAACCCCTCGTATCTCGCGGCTTGTCGAAGCTTACCTATACGAAAGCTCAAGTTTCATGTCATTCACCAATGATTAGGTGAAAGAATAGAGAACGAGGCACATAAAGCCAAACTTCATTGTCATCAAGCCTACTCTACGATCGAAGAACCTTTCCTTCTTTCCCTGCTCTTGTTTTCCAAATGACGTTGGTGGACACCTGGGGGGTCGGCCTTGAGCATGGGGTTACCGGGGGGATCCAGAGACAGGTTTGGGGTTGGCTCTTTCTCCAACCGAGCCGGCTAAAACCTTCTAGCTGAGGTGAAGGCTCCTTCCTCCAAAACTCTATAAGCACAACCTATCGTACAGTACAAGTATGATACAGTGCTCGGGTGTGTTAGCAAGAATCAGGGAACTATTCTTGCCCATCCCATCCGAATGTCCATGGAGACAAGGGTCGTATTTCCGATTCTCATCGACACACTGGGCACGCTTCTCCACCTCTTCTACCCCAACAGAGGTCTTGGAGAAAGCACAGAAAAAACGGTCCTTTGGATTCGTTTCTTTCCCAATCCGGACAGACTTTTCCCAGACGAGTTCGCAGTCTAAAGAGACTAAGGGGGGGCCGGAGCACGTGCCCAAAATACTAATACCGATTTTATTATATTCTATGCCTACAGACGAACCTTCTCCCTCGTCCCCTCTTTCGTCAGACATGCCCCACTAATGATATAATAAAGGGAGTAACCGAAAGCTTAGATGACTTTTTTATAACCAGGATGCCATAGCAGGAATTCTGTGATACTATATACGTCTTCCCTCCCTCCCGCACTTAGCCTTAACTCTTCATGCGTATCGGAGGCATGCGCAGAAGCACTGCTCGTAACTTTCTAATGTTTATGAACACGGCTGCTATTGCATATAGGCCAGAAATCAGCAGGAGCCCCAAGATTTTGGTGGTATATAATAGTAGTCGTGTTCACAAACGTTAGAAAATTACGAGTATATCATAGTAAAAATGTAGGTTCCAATTGTCAAATAATGGGAAGCTACTTACTCCCACAACCACCCAATCCCAATCCCACTGTCCCTGTATCAGACACGAACCCAATGTACGATTAAGCGCAGCGCTTAATCGGGAACCATTGCGTTGTAACCTTTGTCAACTTTCGAGGCCAAAGGAAAAACTAGGAAAGATTATCATCGCGATTCAGGGCGGCGTCGGCATCGGAAGAGGCAATTGTAGTCCGCCGAAAGAATAGGCTAACTGGCGACAGGAAAAATACCGACCATGCACGCCGTGCTCAAGGCAGGCGAATTACTAGTTCGCCGGGATGCAAAAGCGAGAAGAAAAAGACTTTATAACCAACTCCAAATACGAAGACGGATAGATAGACAAGAGTGGCCACGCAAGCCAAGGAGGATTCCAGCAGAAATTATGGAAACTGTCGCTCCTCTCAGTAGGTGCTGCCAGCAAATAGTTGTCGTGGAATGTGCAACTTCTTTAGTGGCCAACGGTCCTCTGATCTGCACCGAGCCCTCCATCTCTCTAAGGGACGGCCGAGATAATATCAAGTATAGTACACACTCTCCACTCAACCAAAAATGCTAGTAAATTTGTTGTTCGCTTTGTTGTCGTTATCTTAGCTAGCCCGGAGCGTGGTACGACAGACATGATATTACAGGAATACCAATTCCGGCAAAGCCGACACTGCCGGTAGTTATCTAGCAGTAACATATCAATCTGATTCATATTAGCACTCCAGTGACAGGAAGCCTGCAGCACTCTAGGGACTTGATATTTAATTTTCTGAAGATGAAACAGTTGATGAGGATATGAACATCACGGAGTTATCAGATGGTTTGTTGCCCACCAGGCCGGGTTTATAATTATGGTGTACTTGTACTGTTGATCGGCGCGCTAAGTGCAGTGTTCAGGTATCGTGGAGCAAGTTAATTATTAGGAGCATAGACCATGAAACAGCCTGAGGCGATGAACAAAGAGTGCAATGATAAGTTTTCACCGATTCAGGGGGAAACACCCAAACTATATACTGCCAATCTCGCAAAGAAAACCATGGTACAGTACTCTCATTTATCGCGACAATCACTCCACTAGTCCCATGACATTCTGTGATCGCATCACCGCCATCTGGTACGAGCTTGGCGAGAAAAGGGACCGACACCTACCCAGTTCTCCATATAAATTTGACACAAAGATCCACATAACCAAATGCCATGCCAGCCAACCTCTTTGTTGTGCACCTTTCGGGTGTATAGAAAGCCAGGTTGGTGTCAATTCCCCCTGTGGGCAAGTTGGTACTTGTACGGTATTATACACTCTATCCATGACGATACCATGCGAAACAATCCAATACCCTCAACATACAGTGGGGGGCGGGGGGCAGGCAGGAGTGGTGCATCTGCAAGCATCACCGCAGACAGGTAAACACACACACGATCCAAACAAATCCCACGCACGGGAGGAATGCCGATCAAGTATAATTCTGTACCCTGTGATGTGATGGACTCGTTGTTGCAATAGAGACTGGCGACATGTTTATCGTGATGATTCGGTAGGGAGTGGAGTAATTGGGCCCTAGGCTAGGACGTCCAAAGTTCCCGTCTCTGGATCGAGTTAGGGAGGGAAAAACGCAGCTAAAAAAAAACAGTCTTTTGGCCCTCCGCTGAGATAGATAAAGAGAGTGAGACCAACCTTACTACGTCTCGAGCCAAGAAATGGCTCCAATTTTGGAATACCCCGGTACCAGTAGCTCCCGCAGACCTATAAAGAGTATAGTGTTCGAGCAGTGCTCACTAAATCCGCCTGATTTGAGGGAACTCAAACCGTATTGGAAACACATGAAAGACTCTTTTTTGTTACAAGATAATTTTAATGGTAAAAGTGGGGAAAGCAGGCAGCGTGTGAAGCTTGATAGAGTCATTCAGTCCCAGGGCCGAAAAATGTTGCTGTCAGGGTCTGTGATGTTTATTGCTCTTAACAGGGTGGTGTATGTGCACTTTTCGAATAGCAGCTTCAGCACTAGACTGCTCGAGTATACTCTCTATGGGTCCACGGGGGGGGGGGTATTCCAAAAGAGTGCCAATTCTTGGCTCTGAGGCACGAGAACTTAGGAGGACAACTTCAAAGTCCTACCGTGAGGTCCGGTGTCATATCTTTGATAGCACAGGTACGAGTGAACCTTTTCAATACCATGCTCTTGGCGAAAAAACCTTCCGGATACCATTGACCGAGAAATATACTATCCAAAAAGTGAAACCTTCGCACAGAACCACATCGGTCTGACCTCGCTTAATAGTAGTATGTTCTTGGTGATTTTTTGGGCCAAGAATCCTAAGAAAATTGCTAAAAAAAATAATTTAGAAAAATATTAGCAGGTCTCAGGTAGTTCTGGATTTTTTATAAGATTTTTTACAATATTTTTGGATTGTTTGAGGGGTAAAAGGACTGGGGAACTCTGTGCTAGAGTGAATATTTTGTTGATCGTTGCAATGTGAAACCTTGCAATGGTATGTTTTTGCCAAGAATAGTATTATAAAGGTACCCCCCCCGTTTTCCATGGTATTTGAAAGGTTTTCTCCACAGGTACAGTACTCTGGTCAGGGGTGAAGTATTGGGACAAACAGGGGGGCAATAGTCCGTGCAAAGAATACAAAAAATACCTTTTTTATTGGCCCCGCTATTACACAGGTGAATTTATTTTCCTTTTTAGGTATCCGGGAGTCTTAACTTATACGAATGTGGGAATTTCTGCCATGGCCCTCTACACCCCTGATTGTCCAC